GCAACAGACTCGGTGCGGAAACGATCTCTGCACTGCTGCAGACGCGCCGCAACTGGAACGCACTGCCGGATCGTAACCGTGTGCAGTGAATGCTTTATTAATCCGTTAACATGAGCGCGGAAAAAATACGCAACGCATACTTGGCATTATGTGTGTGCGCTGCGAGTGTGCATGAGCGCACGGTCTCCAGGAGAGTGCGCGAGCGCTGAATGGTTAAACACCGGCAAGAATTAAAAAGAAATGCAATTTATAAACTTTAGTGACGATGTGACACTGCCTCGACTGTGCAAGTGACAATTCCTGTCAACTGTGCAGGGTGCAGCTCGCTTATAGACATACGCGATGTGTGGTGACAATCATCCCAACGTGATTATCGGCCGATAGTGATCGGTAGCCAATAGCAAACATTATGAAAATGTTACTTTTGAATGTTCCTTAAACTTTCTGAATAAGTAGTAGCATTTTGTAAATGTTAGACAAACATCCAACTAAATTAATGTGTAATGTATTATGCATAAATACAATTTTTGTGCAAAAGTTTTGAAAACATTATTAAAGGGGACATCGGATGCAAAATTCACCTTTACATGGTGTTTGCATATAATGTGTCTTAGCAGTGCGTGGACACAACCACCGTATAATAATAAAAATCCATTCACTCATTTTTTTTTTAACCCCCCAAAAAGCTCAATTATCGAGCCGTTTTGATTTTCTGAGCAGTATGATGTCACACTCTTCAGGCCCCGCCCACGACCGCTGATGGACTGTCCCATATTAGCATATTTCCGCCCTCAGCTAGTTGTACGGTCTCTGCCATTATCTCCGCGCTCAAGCAGCTGTAGCGACAACAATGTCTTGTAAGCAATGCAAGTGTTTTATAGTTGGATGTAAAAGTGAACATAAGAGTTTTCATTTTCGCCCGACATCAAAGCCACTGAAGACGCAGTGGACTCGTTTTGTTTTTAATGGTAACTCGCCACCGAATACACAAAAAACAGAATTGAGGGGCGGGGTGAGCAGTAGCTCATTATCATTTAAAGAGACATGCACCGAAACGGGTCGCTGTGAACAGAGCTGTCCTTGACAAGGTTAAAAAGGGTGTTGTTATACACGACCATTGAAGAATTTTAACCAAAGTATGTTGCAGACATTTCATGAAGACTCTAAAGAATCATAGCAACTTGTGGAAAATGGGCATCTGATGTCCCATTTAAGAACCGGATAATTTCCCAGCTAATAAAAATATGTTCTGAGAACATTTGCTAATATTTCATTAAGTCATGAAAACGTTATTTCTGAATGTTCTCTAAACGGTTTTTGAAACCGTTTTTTTCTTAGTCATATGAATGTTAAATGAGCATGCAAACATTTTTATTAGAAGTGTTATATTTGACAATTTGTAACGTTTAAAAAACATTACATGAACATCCAACAATAGATTCAGAAAGAAAACGTTCCATGAACGATGTATAGATAACATTTTTGTGCTGATGTTTTGAGAACATTATTAAAGCAGAAAACTTTGAACAAATATTCTATTAACGTTATAAGCATTTGTTCATAGCTTTGAGAGAACATTGTCAGAACGTTAGCCAGACTCCTGGGAACATTCCCTGTTAACTGGGTATCCATATTCATTTTTAGCTGTATGCTCTTACTGTTTGTTAACTATTGACTTATTTGTGTCTACTTTCATAGAC